ATAAACCCCACACAAATGGTATAGTGGTAACTGGGAGGAGGAGATCCCAGGTGCCGGAATAGAAGACCTAACCTAATCTAAGGGCTCAGGAAAGTTCCACCCGAGCAAGTGCATCTCACTTGTGACCTCGAAAATGAGTAGGAATGAATTAGGAAATTGCAGGTTGAGACTGAGAAGGGGGTGTTTGTTTTAGCTAAAGAGAATACCTAGTCCTTTGGGTCTGTGGTAAGGAAGGATAACCAGGAGATAGAAAGAGCTGTGTGATCGCAGGGCTCGTGAGCAGGAGCGAGAGGCGGCCACTGGGCTGTAAAAGGTCTGCAGAGGTCTCATAGTCCCAGTGATGCGTTCGTACTTCTCCAGAAGCAGTGGAAAGTCAGTGAGGGCTTTTAAGGGTGGTGCAGAGTGTGGTTACATGTTCAGATTGAAGATCGAGACTGTGGAGACTCGGGTCTTTTTCTGGAGAAAAGCGTAGTGGGTGATAGGGTTTGAGTCAGTAGCTTCCACAGGCTCTGGACTGCTAGATACAGCAGAGACACAAGGTCTAGACTCCAGTGCTAGGACCGGAGATGGAGAGAACGGAATGGAAAGTTCTTTCTGGAACTTGAATTGGCAGGATACAGTGAGACAGGTTTGACGTGGAGTATGAGAGGGAGGGGAGGCGTCAAGGATGACACTTAGATTTCGTAATTGAACCTGGTGTGGGTAATAGCCATTTTTACTGAGATTTTGATAAACACTAGAGAAGGAGTAGGTTTGGAGGAAAAGATAAAAGAGCCGTTTTGTTTTGTTTTGTTTTGTTTTAAGGTTTTGCCATAGGGTACACGAGCTCACACAGAGAGATGGTGAGAGGGAAAGTGAAAAATCGCCCTCCCAGGAGAGATGACCATGCCACCATCCCTTCTCCCCATTCTCCTCCTGGGATTTTGGGTACACAAACACATGCGCCTGGCAGGATTTTCAGGCTGCCAGGTCTGGGATTTGAACTGCAGTCAGTCATGTGGGAGTCCAGTGCCTTAACCACCACACCACCTGCTGGCCCAATCAAGAGCCATTTTGAGAGTACTTTCTCTGGGGAGTCTTGTTCTTGATTTTAGAAACTTCTACAATATTCTACTCAAAATTGCCCTTCTGTGTGATTGAGTGTCCAGGATCCTGATGAATGAGATGGGGACCCTTTGGGGGTGCTTCCTCTTTCCTGTTCCACAAGCCTATCACAGGTTTAAATAATAATAATACTTTAACAACTGTTTCTCTTCTCTAAAGTTCTTTTACCCCATCCAGAAGGGCCGTAAGTGGTACCATCTTTGCTGGTACTTTCATAATTATTTGTGAACTCGCCTATCTCCCCACCAGACGTGATTCCTTGGGCCGGGAAGTAGCTTGTTTGTTTGGTATTCCTGGAGTATGGACACGTATTTCCTCAGGCATTTTCCAGAGAATTTTGTAGCGTTCCTCTGTCTTAAGTCTGAGTAAGGCTGGAGTCCATTCATGTTTCTTTCCTGGAGAATTGTCGTAGTCTTTCATTTTCTGGCATGGGTTGGAATCTCTGGCAAGGCCGTAAAGTATGCAGTATTTCCTTAAGTAATTTAGTCTCCCCTCTCCTTCCTGCATGGACTTTTCTTTCTGAGGGGTTGAGGCAAAGAGTGGCTAGGGACATCCTATGAGAAATGGCCCTTTGGGCGTGTGCCCTGACCCCTAGTAGGTGTGAAATTCCCTGAGTGCAGACTGCGGGGAGAGCGCACCTGGTAGCGTGGGAGCCCAGCTCCGGATGTCTCGAACGCTCGCTCGTTCTGCCTGTGGTTGCTGCACATCCATTTTTTCTTTTCCCCTCAGTGATCAAAACAAACATCAAGGAATGAGAATTTACTGTCTATTGTGTGTTCCTGCCAGGCTGAAAAAGAAGGGTGGCACGAGGTGACAAAATTTTGTTCTGTTTCTTTGTAGCTAAGCTGGGAAGTACCTAACAAAAATTTCTTTGGTCTTTTTTATTTATTAATTTCCAACATCAAAACAGTGCTTTTCGTACACCACCTGGGGTTGCTCATAGAATAAACAGAGTTATATTAGTAACTTTTTTTTGGTAAGAGAAATAAATGTTCAGTGTTTTTGTAAGGCTATTTATATTCTGCTTTAGAGAGCTGGCAGTTGTGACGCAGAGCCTAGGCTTCAGGGAAATCTAGACAGGATCGACTAAATTCGGAAGGCCCTTTTTTTTTTTAACAGTATATGAATTTATTTTAGAAGGGATTTTTTTTTCTCTCTCAAAACTTAAAGTACTCAAGACAGTTCAGTTTTAGAGTAGAAGCTAGTGGAAAATTTTACCAGGAACTCACTGACTCAAGCAGGAAATGTATTTGTTTTTAAACTTAAGAGTTTATTTGTCATGCCAAATGGCATTATTGTGTTATATCTTTTTTCTATTTTATTTGTTTAATCCTAATTGTTTTTATGATTTCTGATACATAAAATTATACAAGAATTGTATTTTTTGTTAAATTTATCAGTAGGCTAACTAGGATCTTTCTTACAGTCATGTGGAGTGGGTAGGTGCTTTTGCTCTACAAACTTCATTTGGCCTTAGAGTTAACAATAACAATAAAAATAGTTCTATATAGTCTTTTCCTATATTTTTGAATAATATGAAATGCAGCCTAGATTAGTGGGGTTAAACTGTCATAACCACAAGTACATTTAGATGCCTACATCTTTTTTATTATTATTTTGTTTTGTGTTTTGTCATAGGGTACTTGTGTTTGCTGCAGAGAGAAAAACAGTGAGAGGGAAAG